ATAGATATTTAATATAATAAAGAAAAATAAGAAATATAATATAAATAAGAAATTAAAGATATATAAGATATATAAGATATATAAGTAATTATAGATCGCTAAGATCGCTAAGAAATTAGAGAAATGATAGAAATCATAGAAATTAGAGAAAGTTGAAATCCATGATCGACAGGATCATCATTCACTAATTATAATTGTTGCAGTATTAATGTGTCATAACTAGACTATTACTAACAACGTAAATTATTAATTTAAAAGATATAATTTTTTTAACATTTCCTTTAATAGTAAGTAATACAAGAAAAATTCAATATATCTCTTAAATTTAATATAAAAATTTATAAAATAAAAAACTTCATTAACAAAAGTCTCACTTAGTATAAAATTATACATAATAGAAAGTTTCATTATAAAATTTAGTATATTCAATTATTTATTTAATAAAATTTGAGACCACTCATTTAATTAACTATAATAAAAAAATTTAGAATATAGATATTCGTTATAAAGAGGTAAGTATAACAGGTGACTTTGATATTTTATAAAATATGACACATAATTTTTATTCTTATAAAAATATAGCACGTGATTTTATAGTTTGTAAATAATAATAGAAAGATTTACATAATATAAACTTAAATTAAAGATCTATATAAATATAAATAACCCGATATTTTATTTTTTTTTTATTTTTTTATTTATTTATTCTTAATTTTTACAACAATAAATTTTTTTATAATGATATTACAATTATTATCATCTTCAGAAATAATTTCAAATTTACAAGAAAAAATTAAACTATATCAATAAAAGTTAACACAATTAGAAAATAATTCTAATTTTACTCTTGTTTCAGCAACTCCAACTCCAACTCCAATTGAAATATCTTTAATCCAAAATAAAGATATATCAAGAATAGCGATATTTTGAATTTATTTAAATTTTCAAAAGAAGAATATAATAATATATTGGTAAATATAAACTAATGTTATTAAATTTTATTTTATATATTAAATATTTTTTATTTGTAGTTAGAAGTTTGTTTCTACATAATATATTTGCAAATTGATTTTTCAATTTTTTTATAAAGATCCAGATATTTTAAAAATATCTAAAATTATTGAAAAGGTAAAATTGCTATTTTCTATAAATATTTTTATTTGAATATTTAGAATATTAATTTGTTTATTTATAGTTTAAAAAAATAAATACAAATATTAATATTGGACAAGGAGGATGACTTATTAAAGAAACTATAAAAAAAATATTTAAACCATTGCTGGAATTATATTAATAATAAAAAAAATAATAAAAAAAATAAAAATAAAGATTTAAAAGAACCAGAAGAACAAAAAAAAATAATAATTGCAAAAGCTGCAATTGTAAAGTTTGCAGCTGCTATTGTTGCTACTAAAAAAAATAAGAATGAAACAATTGCGAAAGAAGCTGAAGATGAATTAACTGCAGCAGAAATGACTTTAATTACATTAGAAAATATATTAAAAAAAAGAAAACGTCAAAGAAAAAAGAGTTAGCAGCAGTTGTAATAGAAACATCATCAAAAAGTGTAAGAATTATAAACTAAAAATTCTAATAAAATTTCTAATAAAAATTAATATAAATGAAATATTATAATTATAATAATAAAGGAAAGAAATTACTAATTAATAATTATTTCAAGAAAGCAAGAATAGATAAATTTTATTTGAAAGTAACAAACAAAAGTAAATATTTAATTAATTATTTAATATAATTATTATAATATAAAATTATTAAATATATATTTTTTTTAATTAAACAATTTAAATACTTAAAATTTGATATCAAATTAATAAAGAATAAATACATTTTTATAATTAATTTTCTTTTATATTTTTTTATAATAATTTTATATATAAATAAAATAATAAATATTTTTATAATATATAATAAATAAATAAAATGTATATAATAAATATAAAATTATGAAATAACGTATCTAATATACTGAAAATAGTGTATAATATTTACAGATAAAACGTATTTAATATACTGAAATAGCTTATACAATATATGTAATTTATGAATTTTATATATTCATAATTCTGACATTTTTCTTATTTTGTATATGTAATAATTATATACATATTATACATAATTTCAGTATATTTTATTAATTTTTTACGAATATTAAAACATATTATTACCATATATAATTCTGTATATAAATTTCTTATAGGGTATTAACTAAAATTATAAATTATTTTACAATGATATTGGGTCAAATTGGAAAAAACACTAATTATATTATGAAAGATTAAGATTATGAATACCTTTTAAACCAGAATTAGTATAAAATTCAACAGGTAGTAAAAGTCAATCATGAAATAGCAAAGAACTTTATTTATACTTAATAAATCTATAAAAAAAGAAATTTTTTGTGCTTTGGGAAAAAAATTACAAACTAATAACAATAGCAAAAAAATTAAAAATCCAGTAATAATAAAACCAAATGATACTGTAATATTTCTTTTAAGTATTTATTTATTTTATTTTATTTTAATATTCATTTATTTATTTAAACAAAAATACACTTCAAAGAAAATAAACAGAAACTAGTTTGAAACTAACAAACCAAACCTTCTAAAAAGCTTGTATTATGCTAATATAATAGTGAAATTATATTGGAAGAAAAGAATAATACTCAAGGTTTAGCTTTAAATATAACATATACTTTTAATTTTAATTTTTTTTTAATAGTTAATAATTATTTTATAATAGGAAATAATTCTGGAAAAAAAATAATCCTATAACTGTAAAAGTTTTAAATTCTCAAAATATAGATAAAATGTTTTATTTTTAAAATAATTTTATATAATCATTAAAACTAAAAATAATATAAGTAAAGAAAATAATTCTGCAAATATGTCATCCTCTTCATCAGGTTAGTTTGTTTGTTTAAGAAAATTTTATATAATTAATAATAGTATAATTTAATTACTTAATAGGCACTAAGTGTTCTTTTAACACAATTGGAAATCAAAATGGTATGACTATACAATGCAATATGTGCTGGGCTTTATTTTTAATACTATTTATTTTATATTAGAAAAACCCACATAAGAAAACCACTATTTATTTTGTGAAATTCACCATGTGAAACAATTATTGTTCCTGATGGTATTCAAAAAGGTTATCCTATAGAAATTAAGTTTGAATTATCAAAAGCTTGAATAATTCAAATGAAGGATGAACTTCTTAATGTTATTAATAAAAAAGTAAGAAGTTACTACAAGGATTTTTCTTCAGAGGTGTATAATGAAAATGGAATAAGAAAAGTCATAGTATTATGGTTCCAATGGATTAATTATTATTTGTGATATACTTTAATGGTTTTTAACATATGATTTGGTTTGTCCAAAAAAGCCAGTTGAGTTTTTGCAAGAATTTTTGTCTTGAGACTGCGTTGCATTTGATAAAGGTAATATAAAACTTAAAGAAGCTAAAATAATAGTTCCAATTTTGGTGATTATGTACATAAAGAGTAAAAATAATTCTTTTCGTTAGAATATCAATTAAAAAGCCTTGAAAAAATATTTTTAATGCTCTTAATAATTTAATAAAAAAATTTGAAGTACAGATTAATCTTTATTAATCCTTTAAAATTAAATTAAATTTCCTTAAATTTCATATAAAAATTGGACTAATATATTTAAAACAGTTTAAATATGCCAGATACAATTTCGAACCAATCAAATTAAAAGGGGCACGAGATAAGAATCTATACCTCCCAGGTACAGGATGAAAAGTTATACCTGGGATACAGGTTAAGGATTCCCTAAATTTTAATACACAGAATGTGACCCGTCACGTGGTTGACGCAGTATTCATTCCGTATAGCAAAATCTTTATCTGTTATATAAAAAGTATTATGTAAGTAAAAACTTTATTTCACTGAACTTTTGAGTAAACCACAAACACTTTATTTATGATGTCTGGAAAATTAGCTACTGTACATAAGCATTATTATTTTTCATTGTAAGTAATATTAAGGTTTGTTGACATTTTTAAACATAATTATTTAATGATCAAAAAAGTTTCCGTATTCTCGAACTTTACTACTTATCGATTTTTCCAAATTTTTCCATACCCCTTAATATTATTGGAGTTTAGCACGAAATCTTACACATAGATCTTCACTGAGTTCCTTGCGGAACCAGTTCTGTAAATTTCTTAGTAAAATTTTCACCTACATTACCAGAATATACAATAAGTCATTAATAAATGCTACCAAAATCATATTGTTATTATGGTATGGTTACTTACTCTGATCATTAAGCTTATTGGCAAGATCCGCGAGTCTCATTGCCGGTCCTAATTCTAGCCCACATTCCTTGAAGTCTTGTTTATTCATCTTGACAAAGTCACAACCAACAATTTCTCGTTTGCGCAGAATCTCGAAATGTTTTTCTTTTAAAAACAGGTTTTGTTTTTGTAAAAATTCAATTAGTTTCTCAGTGTCTTTCTTTTTAATTCCTTCCACTGAAGTATCTTCGGCCAAGGTTGATGTTTGCGATAGTGATGTGTGTTGGTCGTTATTACCTGATGAAAGACACAATCAAGATAAGTAATCTTTTATACTACCCAAATTGATCATCCGAATCATTCTTACCATGTAAGAGATTTTCACTAGAATGTTTAACTTCCGCTTTAGCCTCAAATTTGTTCTATTATATTCAGACAGTTACATACAATATGTTAATGAACTATACGTAATTTGAAGAGTAACTTAATCTCACCTTCTTTACTGGCATTTCTTCATCATCTTGAATTTCTAGGGATCGTTTGTTACTATCTTCATTGAACTGTGTTTGTAATATGTCAACTTGAGTTGCCGAGTTCTTAATCGCATTTAATTGTTGCTTTGCCTATTCAAAAGGAATCTCGCTCAATATCGGTGGTAAACAAAACAATTCATTTATAAGCTAGAAGCCCATTCAATATACCCGAAGCGCCTTAAACTTTCTGTATAAATGTTTTGTTTTATATCGACTTTTTTTTTTCTTCACTGAAGAGGTCCAAACCTTGGCAAAAAAGTCGCGGCATTAGTAGATCATTCATAACAAAAAGCTCCAGTCAAAAATAAACCAAGGGGGTTTCAAGCTAAGAGCTCAACAGTCAACAATGAGTTGATGTTACCGCTACAAAACAAAAGAGTTCTAGCACATCCCCATAAGGCTCAGCAAAAGAGCCCAACACACCATAACAAGAGTTAGGGCTACCGCTGTAAAACTAAGAGTTCCAGCACCTTCCGATGAAAGGCTTGTATCGAACTAAAGAGTTCCTTATCTTAACAGTTTTACTAATTTTCAGCTAACCTGCCAAGTTTCAACAATTTCTTGCGCTTTTACTCTGCATGCCACGTCGAAATCAGAATTAACATTTGTTATCTTACAAAGATTTTTTTTTACGTCGTCCAGAACTTTTGACAGTTCTAGCTTTCCATATTCTTTGTTATAATATTCCACTATGTTGAGACACGTCCAATCTTTTATTGGGGTAATCTTATAAAAATTCATTGCAGAAACGGAAGTCGAGAGCACGTTCGTGAAAAAAAAGTTTGTTTTTGCAGAAAGTCGCACATTATTAATGTCACTAATGTGGCGCAATATTCTCACGTGACAAGCATGTGTGACGTTATATGATATTGGCACGATGCTCTTACCCCAATAATAATAATCATATATTAGTGATTATAATTGAATAACTTTAATCGATCACGATTCTACACTATTTTAATTTGTAATACATATTTAATTGCGTTAAATTTTTTATTAAAAAAATTCTTGTATTTAATTTTATTGAGGAACGATAGTAAAATATTTGGATTTTGCTGTAAAAACAAGAGATCTGAAACAGTAGTTGGATTTAAACGATTACGTTTTTCAGTAAGGATATTGCCAGCACTAGAAAGAAGCCTTTCAGCCGGAGTTGAACTATCAGGAATGGACAAATAATTCCGTGCGATTTTTGATAATTGGAGAATAGACTTGTGATTATTTTTCCACCATAGAATTGGATCGTTGACTTCTATTGGAGGAAGAATTCGAAGGTTCATATAAATATCCAATTCTGACTTTTCAATAAAATTGGTTTCATAACCACAATTTTTAAAAAATTGCAACATAGGAGACAGAGTTATCTGTAAATAAAGAGGTTTGTAAAGATTGAGTTTCTCATTGTGATTCTATAAGATTATGAGCAATTGAAAATATATGTCTCTTTTTAAGGGCGAAACAAAGCTAAGAGATTAGAAGCTTAAATCTATTAAAGATGCTAAAATCCAATATCTTAAGGATTTAACTAACGTTTTTCCATCAACTTTAAAATAGTATTGCGGATTTGAATTACAGATTGATAAGTAAGATGTTGAGAATTACGCATATGCAAATCGATAAACTTGAATAAGTTGAACCGCTTAAAAATTTTGTTGCTTTGAAAAATGGATAAAAGATAAGTGTTAATTCTTCAACTCCGATCCATTCTTCTGTTGTTAAATATAATGTAACTAAATTATTTCCAACTTAATGAATTTCTTTATTTTACATCCTTTTGCATTGCTACATATAATAATTTAGAATTCCACCTTGTATCGATGTCTTGAATTGATGCTAATGTTTCTTTAGTAGGTTGAAGAATTTTTTAAATTTGTAGAAATTGATTTCGATATTTATCACGATGTACAAGAAAAATATTAAGTGCTTTAGCTTTTTTTAATAATTCTTGTACTAAAACTAAATCTATCCGATATTGCTAGTTGAATTGTAAGTACACTGCAAGAAATGTTGGCAATTTGTAATTCTTAAAAGCTTTAATTATTTTGCATCATTATAACTTACACCTTATCTTATATGTTGTAATTTATTAGCTATATTATCAGCAGTATGATTATTCGGCATCTATTCTATTGTATGTAAAGCTTGTTGAAGTTCAAAATTATCATTGATCCAATGAACAGGTACACTAATATAAGATCGATGAATTCCAGTCCACAAATTAGTTGTAAAACTTATTTTTGTTGTTATTTTTTCAAGTAAATTATCTAAAGCATGATGAGAGAATTCTAAACTTTGTAATGTCATAATTTTAATTGTATTATCACAAGACACTCTATAATTAGAACATAAAGAATTGCAAAAAGCTTTAAATTTTTTATTCTTAAACAAAGTAAAAGGTTGTAAAACATCAATTAAAAATTTTAAAAGATGAAAATTTGCTTATTCTTGCTTATCTTTTAAAGGGGTTTATCTATTTCTGAGATTTTAATATCTTGTTCTTCTTGAGCTAATCGTATATTTTTAGTTATAAGATGGATATGACCAAGATGATATACATAAGATGATGTTGCAGAACCCAAAGAAAGACTCGCATCACATCCTACTACTTTACATTTTCCTATATGTACAACTAATAATATAGCTTAAAAATAAAATAATAATATTTGAATAAATATACATCTTATTTATAACAACCTTTAAAAAAGGTGACAAAAATTTTTATAATACATAACTTCGCCCAAACATTATATATGAATTTACCTCCATTATAATTTGTTATATCTATTGCAACGCCTGATTGAAGTCTAAATAATTAATATTTTATAATATATATGATTTATATAATGATTTATATATAAAATATTCAAAAATTTGATTCAAAGCCAACTTTTGTGTTGTTTAAAATTTTATTGTTATACTTGACTTAAATGTGAAATATAATAGTTGGCATAGTTTGGATAGGATAATTTTATAGCATAGCCTAACAAAAACAAAACCAAATATTTATCAATTAAATTGAACATAAAATATATTTGATATATATTCATAAATACTGTTAAATCAGAGCATATGACTTAACTGATACTTTTGAAAATCAAAAAGTATACTTATTTTTTAAGTAGTAAAGATCATTAGTATCAAATATTTATTAGATAAATGTTAAAATTATGATATAAAATGAAAATAAATAAAATATGTTAAATAAATTAAAGTATTTGTAATGAAAAGGATAATCAGATATTTCATTTTTATATAATTTTTTTTTTCATTTTAAATTGGAATAATGTTATTTTTTTTTTGCAAAAGTATGAAAAAAAAGTTCATTAGAAATTTGGACATTTTATTGTGAATTTGATTATTCTCTTCTCATTTTGCATCTTATATTATAAACAACTTTTTTAGTTTTGAAATTTTATATTTTATTTTTCAAAATCAATGTAACTGAAAGTATTCTTATACTTATTTGTAGCTAATAATATATAGATTTTAACAAAATTATTTCATTATCTTGATATGAAAAAGCTTTGTTTGACTCTTTATGAATATAATGAATATAGAAACTTATTCTGAAATACTACATGAAACAAATTTTAAAAAAGTGATTATATTAATAAGATATTCTATATTTAGTAAAGATTATTATATATAAATTATTAATTTGTCGTAAATATTTGTCTTTATCTTATTATTTTTGTTTATTATCATTAGAATCAGTTTTTTTTTTATAATTCTATTTGATAAAAAAAAAGACACTGCAAATTTAGTAATTTATCTATCAGAATCATGTAAATGATTCTACTAGATTATAATTCTTTCCCATCATATAGAATTCTGAATTTTTTAAAATATTTCATACTAGAATAAAATTTTAATTAGGTATTCCTAGACATTAATCTGCATCATATAATTTTTGAAAGTGATTTCACCTAAAATGTGAATAAATTGTTATACTACCTTAAAAGTATGCCTTTGAATATTCTTATATTCTTGAATTTTTTTTAATTATTTTTAATGTTTTATTATCCATAATGAAACATAAAAAATTATACTTTTATAAGATAATGTGAAAAAATTAAATTCATGTGAGTTTTTAGTTATTATACTCAAATTAATAAATAAAAATTAATATTGTATTATATAAGATAATAATCACAATATACAAAACAATGCGTCTAATCACAATAAACAAATTTGAATTTTAGACTTTAAATAGGTTTTATTTTATTAGTTAAATTATGATAAATAGGAGACTAATCAGATCAAATTTATCTGCAAATTTGACCTAATTGGTTTTCAATTTTTTTATTTTTTTAGAATTAGGTAATCCTGATTGATGACGTAAATAAAAGACATTAAGATTCTAATAAGTGTATTATAAAGATATTAATAGGGTTATTCTTATTAATATCAATTTATTAATATATCCCTTAGACTGTAAAGTAAGCAAATTTGCCTGCGAAATTAAAAAAAAAGTGTTAATTTCTTTATAAAATATAAATACTAATTTAATAATATCATTATTATTATTATATAAAAAATAGTTTAATATATATTTTATTAACTTTATTAATAAAAATTTTAAGTTTTTTAAAAGGTTTTTAAAATAATTTAATTTTAGAATTAAGTTTCAAACAATTTCATATAATAATTTTTTAAAAAGTCTTTAAAAATTTATATGCTTGTATACTAATTGAATCACTTTATCATTAATTAAAGTCATAAAATTTCTTAATAAATTATAAAAATTATAATAATAAAGT